CAAGATGTCGCCCTAGCTGTTCAATGATCCAAATGCCAAGCGAGTCAAATAGCAGTTGAGAGAGGTTCCTGTTCTATGATAGTTCTAGTGTGCTTTTCGGGAGTGCCAGCACTCAGTAGCCTCAACAGAATGGCTTGGCTCCTCATGGGTGTGTGTGCTGTAGCACGGCAATTTGCATAGTTTACAACTATTTACAACCATGGCCAGAGCGGAGAGCGGCACAACTCTGCAACGTTGCTATTACCATCGTCAATAGCAATCCTGATAACTTTAATACAGAGGCTGCTTGCATTCAACAAGGTACAGTAACTCTGAGGGAGTGCCACATGTGCCTTTCTTAGCCAAGGATTCTCACGTTCCCGACAACCTCCACAGCTTCCAGCACACATCATTATCATCAACTCCTCAGCAAAGTTGTGACCCACAAGTGACAGCACACCGATCCCACGTGCTGCTCGGAACTCAAAGAGGCCTTCAAGCTGTCATGCCTGTCTCATGCAGCATATGATGGAGACTTTCACTACTTACAAAGCCCTCACCCTGCGTCTTGCTGCCCTTTACATCGTCCTTGAGATCCCTTGTGTTCAAGCATACCCACAACCAGCATCTCTCCTCTCACTACAGCGCAGCACTTAGCGCAAACCCTGTGGACTCCAGGTCAACCAAGCTGCGATAAGCGAAGAGAGACTGCAGTAGAGGCCGCATTCCAGGCGCCCATGCAATCCAGCTCTGTTCCATCAACTGAGGCCACGCATGGATTCAGAATCCGACTGACCAGCACTTCAAAATTGACAGATTCAGTTCTCCAGCTATGTGTACCTTCCTTATAACACTGACAAACAGCTCTGCGGCTCTGCGGAAAAGCGACCGAAACACATACAGTAAATGTGAAATCCCAGTGTTGGGTGGAATGTTTTGTCTGTCACAATGCTTGCAATGACTCGGCTGAAGTCTGAGGTCAGCACCATAGCCTCCACATCTTCTGGAAGCTTTTCCTTGAACCCACTCGTACGAGCATAGTTTGCAAACTATGACACATCATCAAGTGAAGTGATGGAACTTTACAGATGATACAAGGGAAATGGCAGAACTGACAGAAGTACAAGAGTTATTGAAGATTCAACCACAATTCATAGACAAATGGGCCGTGTTGGAAGGCCCACTTTGAGGTTGACAATTTTGCCCACAGCTACAATGGCAGGAGAAAAAAACAAAGACATTGTGGGCAAATTGCTAGACGTCAGCAAACAAAGCATAGTGGTCCCCTATTGGTGTCCAATCGGCACAAGGATCCGAATAACACCAATCAAGCTAGTGAGAGTGGGCATTTACTACTGCATGAAACACTAAATGCATCTAAATGCTATGACATGCTATGATCAGTGCCGATGTAGCTCGTACACAAAGGTAGCACAAGTTGTGAGGGCTTATTTGTTTAAGGCTTCTTTTATATATAGAGTCCAACCGAAGGTTTGCTTTCGCTTTCTGAAACAAAGCAGCAATGCCTTTGGTCCGAAGCAACAAAAAAAAAAGAAGGTCCGTGTTGCCCATAGTGCTGCAACTGACCAGCTAGACAGTGCACTGTCGTTGCCTCCTCTTCCAATTCGACCCATTCACAGCCCTTCAAATACCAGATGCGTAGACAGATTTGTAGATTTTGCAGCACAAAGCTACTTTTACATGGCTCGACTTGGAAGCCAAGCCAAGCGACCTCTGTGAAGGGCGATGACCAGTGGCATTCCAGTCCCACACCAGTGGCAGCATCTTTGGCTGGGCTGGTTATGCTGTTGTTCCTTGGCAGGGTTGCTGTTGCGACCCCAAAGATCCTACTAGCGACGGCCTCCAACCTACTAGCAATGGCCTCCAACCTAATAGCGAATCATTTCAAACACATCTTAAAGGCTCTTAGAATGCATTGCCAGTTGGCACCATGTTTAATACTAACATCACCTGATGTCCAACCTACCAAGTGGAGCCCTGTATTCGGCAAACTGCAGAAAAGCTAAGAGAGCGTCGTCCCAACCAATCTCCACATATCAAGCTGCCTGGCGAAACAAGAGCTGAGACCAGACCATGGATACACTTCCAGGTGTTGACAAACCTCTATCGGTCAATTCTACCACCGAAACTCTCCCAAACAGGAACGGGCCCTATGAATGACGTGTTTGCATTCTAGGTGATAGCCGTCCTACGAGAAGAGAGCATGAGTACATCCTAGCAGCCAATCAGATTGAAGAACCAGTGTGTGCTTCAAGATTATTTGTCCTGTCCTAGTCCGCCAAGGCCCCCTTCGAGCCTACCCAGGATCAGCTCCAGGAATGCTAGAGCGAAAGCTCTCCAATCTCCTAAGCACTTTGGTGTGGATCGAAGCAAAACTACTGGGTACGTCAAAGTTCCCAAACTTTCTCCTAGTAATTAGTAGGGCCAGGAGCCCCTAGTAGCGTCCTCGCTCCTAACATGCATGGCTTAATCATGAAACTTGTCGCTCCAGCCCAGCCTGTTCGTCTCCGTTTCTTACTTCCAGAATGCTCATCAAATGCTACACCGTCTGTGCCAAGCCGCGGTTTCGGCTCCAGCGCCCGTCGTAGTTTGGACCAAGGTCCTTCTGCCAGCGGTCTGCACCTTCGTCTGCCGCCAATGCAATGCAACTCTAAACTTGTGACAGTTGCGCAACCTCTTCAGCACGCTCAGATGCGCACGGGTGACAGAGCCTAGATCGATGACCTTGTAGCTATCCTCGGGAGAAACACGCTCAACTTCCTGGCTTCAAAGGCCAAGAAACAAACAAAAATGGGTCGAGATTTGATGCAGTGTTTAAGTTGCCATCATGCTTTCCAAGCAACTATATCAATTCGGCGCAAAATGTTTCCATCATGCAAGTCGTTATAGACCTGCAGGCCGAGCGAATCCAGCAGAACGCTCCGAACACTAGTGGTCATGCAGCTTGATTTGAGGCTCTGGTGATTCTTGTCACCGATTCATGTACTGGTCATCTCAGTCATCTCATTCTCGTCCTTGTCATGCCTCTCCTACAGTTGCCACCCCTCCCATCGCCAAGCAGCAAAGCCGTCATGGTGGATGCGCCGAAGCACTTGTGCGACCGCCAGCAAGCTGCGGGCAGCCATGGCAGGGCTGTAAAAGGCCTCAATCCCAAAAGGTGCGATGCAAAATCACATGGGCAGTGATGCTACTAGAAGCAAGGACACTACTAGGAGCTCCTGGCCTTACTATTAGGAACAAGAAGCTATTAGGGGCTCCTGGCCGTACTACTAGAAGCTCCTGGCCTTACTACTAGGAACAAGAAGCTACTTGGAGCAAAGGGCATCGCTGCGAGGAGCAAGGACACTACTAGGACGCAGTGACGCAGATTGGGTCTTGCCAACGGCAGTGACGCACATGGTCCAACCTTCAGAGCAGTCGGGTGCCTTTGGCCAGCATGGAAAACCTGAATGAACCAGGGAGAACAGCGGAAACCTCAGAGACCAGTGCCACCTCCACACACTGGCAATGAAAACCGTCCGGGCGCTTTCACGCCACCCACAATTTCGGAATGATCCCAAAAAACCGTTGGAGAGAAAGTGTCGTCCTGGCTGGCAAGACCTTGACTTGCTGTGAATCACCCGACTTCCTTATCTTCAAGTTGCTTTGGAAATGCCCCAACATGCCCCAACTACATCCTGACATCGACACGAAACCTGCCTAACAATTGTTCAAATGCTCCGCTCTGACTGCTTGCCGATACATCCTACTTAATAATCCGATGTATTCAGCCGCCCGCTCTCTGACCATGTGATCACCTTCTGACACAATCTGAGACGAGCTTCTGTTCCCGCCCGAATGTCTTGGAGGACACAGGCCTGGAGGTTCAGAGCTCTGAAAAAGCAGCGCGCAAAGTAAACAACGCTTTTGTAGGCAGCTAAAGCAACTATACAGTGCAAGCTTGCATCATTATGCTAGGGAAGAATCTATATGTAAACGTGTAACAAATTGGGTCAGAAGCATTCTTACAATGTTAGATCCAAAACACTGCGTTTTGCAAGGCTTCCAAGGCTCCTTGTCATCGCTGCCAGTTCCTTTTCCCAGCTGCTTTCCCAAGCGCTCTTCAATGATGGCCTGCAGAACAAAGTTAAGCTCTGAAAAAAGCACCAGCCCCTGATAGCAGACAGTCGACTCCTCAAGACGTGCAAGACATGCATAACTAAACAGATTTGAGGTACCGCGACACTTGTCGCGGAGAGACCCTACTCGTTTAGACGCTCGCGTCTGTGCCTCTGGCACGCCATGATTCCATACCACCTTCCTGAGGAATCAAAGCTTTCGAGCATGAAGAATGAAACCATTTGCAAATGGAATCCAGCAATAAGAATGATTTCATGTGCTAAGACCAAGAATGGTATTTACAATAAGTTGCAACAGGCTCTGTGCTTCCTTTTGCTGGGCTTCTGCAGCTGAACCAAGCCCAGCTCTCCAGACCATAAAGATAGATAGCAAATCTCAAGGATCATGTCCTTATGTTGCCATCCAAATGTCTGAGGTCATCCAGCTACTATGGGAAAAACACTACGTTACAAATTTGCGAGTTTAGTTGCCAGCTGCATTGCGACAAGCCATGCACAGCTCGCCAAGACGCTTTGGCCACGCGGAATAGTTAATATTCATTTGCGAGTCAGGTACTTTCTGTGGAGATCAGTCAGTTTCCATATTCTCAAGTACAGGGCTCGAGATAGCCGGTTTACCCGATCGGAACAACTCGCGGCCCCAGACCCAATAGTGGTCGACTTGTAGCGCTCCCAGCCATAGTGCTTCGTTTGCGCTGCCCGCCAAGTCCATCTTGGCATCGACGTCTCCGTGCACGGAGGTCCCAAGTCAGACAGGTTCTGCAGTGCCACAAGGGCAAGCGCTGGCTTTACAGGAGAACACTCCTGCGTGTCTTGAGAGCCAGAAGTTTTCTGGCTTCGCATCACACCAAGCCGGTGTACCGCATTTGCTGCCTGAACGGGATGTCATGGAAGCAACAGCAGAAGTGGAACCAGCGTGCCGAGAGCTGGAAGAAATCATGGCCGGAGGCACGAGAGCAGAGCTTTGCAAAGCAAGAGGTCAAGCCAAAGGAGAAGGATCGTTCCAAGCAGGTCATCTACAGCCACGACGGGCGTCGCCTAGAGCTAAAGTTGCCTGGATCTGGTTCATCCTCATCTACTTCAGCTGGGGCCCAGGCCGATTTGCAGAGCGAGAACAAGAAGTTGAAGGATGCGGTGCGCTTCTTAGCGAAGAGGGATGCAGACGGATCAGGTGGAGAAGAGATGCCGGAAGACATCAAACGCTTGGTGACCTCCAATCCACGAGAAGAGCTGCGAGAACAACAGAGAGAATTGAACAAGATGAAGAAGTCCCTTGGAAGGCTGGAAAAAGTGCAGTCTCAGATCAGTTCCCAGCAGGACAGTTTTATGAGCTGGAAAGCTGCAATGATGGATATGATCAACGAAGAAGAGAAGCGACACCAAAACGAGATCAAGGAACTCAAGGACGAGGCAGTGACCTTGGAGGAGAAGGATGGCCACATGGACACCGATCCTGGTGGTCTTACCAAGGAGCATCGAGAGGTGATGAGTCAAGAGCTGCAACAGTTCCGGGAGGAGATGACTTCCTATGTTGTGACCCTCGAACAGCGGAATATGGATATGGCACAACAGATGCAGGTCCTGATCCAAGCTGTGAAGGAAGTAAAGCATGCGGAAGTATTGAAGGAGTCCCCGCAGACGGTTCATGTGCCAAAGATTCATCTCCCAGAGATGACCCCAGGCCGACATGGTCGAGCAGAGCGTTCCAGATCACCATGCAAGAGAGTTGCCGAGTCGACTGTGGAAGAGATCGAGAACAAGACGGAGATCATGAAGGCACTCTACAAGATCCCGGTAGAACACCATCAGACGATCACTGCCATCATAGAGGCAGAGCCAGAAAAGTACAAGACCCCTGCAAGTGTAGAGCTGCTTTGTCAGCAGCTGGTGGAGCAGATGCAAGATGCCGGGGGGGAAAAATGGGGTGGTCAATGGTGGTGCGAAGAAGGGCAAAGGCAAGGCCACGGCAAGAGGACCGCTTCAGCCTTTCTGGAATTCTCACGAGCCGACCAAGGTCTTGCAAGAAGGGATCTTTGGAGCAGAGGGGCTCCCCAGAGATGGCAGTCAGCAATCCGACGCTTCGAGTGGGCCCTTCCAGAAAATGGATGGTTAGGAGTGGCAGACGATGAGTACTCACTGGTGTGGCTCACTGGTGGGCTTGGAGCGTCTTTGCCATTCAGTTCTTTGCAGTGCGCTATATTTCAAAGCAGCACGCATGATCCTCTATGCCGGCAGCTGCTATCAGGGAGCTGTGTAGCAAGTTTGAATCTACACACCAGTGGCTGCTATGAGAGATTTTGGTCGTTTGTGGGGGGATTTCAAGATAGCCCCCAACTTTTCTTATTGTCGGATGTGAATGAAACTTTTGAGGTTTACCCTGAAGACGGCTCAACTTTGTCGGTTGTTGACCGTATTTTCCCTTTTCAGGGCTGCTTTTGTTGCATTCAATTCCTGCCTATCCAAGTGCTTGTGTTGGTCTGGGCTTTTATGACCGCTTGGGGGGTGAGTCAGGGAGGCCAGATTATCAGTGCGATGAAGCGTATTTTTCAAGGCAGCCAGATCATCTGTTGTCCTACACTGCAGTTGTTATGGCCTTTCGTATTTTCGCATCTCCTTGGATTGCTCTGTGGAGGAGCATTGCTGGAGTTTGCAATTTTGGAGGAGGAAGAGAAAGCCTCAGGAGGATTGCTGTTGGTTGTGCTACTTGTTCGATTACATGGTGTCCTCCTATTATTTGGCCTCTTCCTGATGCTATGCCGTAGAAGACTTGATGAAAGGCTCTATTTTCCTGCAGCATGTTGCAGATGCAGGGGTTCTAGAGTCCGCAGGTCTAAGCAAAGACAGTTACGATGTAAATGGGTTGGGATCTTCCTTTTACTCAACCTAGCTGGCAGCGAAGCCTCAGCACTTCGAGACAAGGCGACCATTGGATACCATACCTTTGGTCAAGATGGGGCAACTATGTTTTTCTCCGCGCAAAATAAAGGAGATCTCAGCCGCAATGAGCACCTTCGTGACTGGTATAACAGGACCAAGTACGGAGACGCGTCTTGTGACGTGTTTTGGTCTGACACAGGCTTTCCACCAGCTTTTCACAGCAATGGGAGTTGGTGTGAGGAAGACTTAGGGGCTTTCTGTTTTTCTGCAGGCCAGAGTCATCCATGCCGATACGGAGAAGATCGTCTTTCCTCTTGGCCTTGTGGGATAGATGAGATGCTATGTCGAATTGAACTCGACAACGAAGGCCTTTTCCGAGACTCCTCTGGATCTACTTTATTTTGTCCTCATGTCTTCTTGACAAGTGAGAAAGTTCTGAGTTTTTGTGAAGTAGATTCCAAGGTTTCTTGTGTGTGGGAAGTGCTTGATTTGGCTCCCTGCACTGTGCATGATGTCGACCCACGTTTTGCCGGCTCTCTTACTGATTCGGGTAGTGGGGATTCGAATGAGGAACACGAGGAAGCGGTGGCTTTGGAATCAGTTGCCAATAGACTCCATGATGAAGTCTTTCTGATGCAAGTGGGGCCACCCACTGAGGATCTTGTAGCGCAATATATTCGAGCACAGGCAACTAATTTCCGTGATACAACACTACTTGTTTGGTATCACCCAGCGGAAGCGATTCGACGTCTACAGGCCAACCATCGAATAGTTGCATACAATCACGAGTTGCCTGCGGGTCCACATTTACCATATGCCCTACCTCAGGTCATAGTGACACCGGTTCGTCATGAGCATTTCGTTCCTGTGCTGGTCGACTACCGATCCAGCACTGTAAGTTTCCGAGGGACTTTCCTCCTTGAAGCTACGAGGATGCCCACTGTCTATATGGTCTTTACTCAGGTATACCCGATGAATCAGTGTGTTTGGGTCAACGATTGCTTCATCATCATGCAGACAAATGCTGGGCCTGAGCACTATCAGTGGGGCCAAGTCTTTCCTGTTTTCGAAGGGCTTTATTTTGTCATGATTGAGCAGTCCCCAGAACCCAGTTCGGGCTCCTCCACTGAAGGTGGATCAGGTGGAGGAAATGACAGTGGATTTTCTACTGACTCAGAAGGCTCTTATGGCTCGTGTTCTGCTCATGCTAGTGAGGACAACCCTGAACGCATTATAGGTGTGGCACTTATGCAGACATCTTGGGAACTGCAATTTGCTGCAGAAGAAGCGTCCTTGCGGGAGTCACTTGGCCTTTTGCCCTCCAGTGCGCCTGAGACGATGTACTGGCAGCCCTCTTTTGGGGTAGTGCCTGTTAATGGTCATCTCGAACAGTCCGACCGTCTTGAACTGATGCTTGAGACACTAGGCATAGTTGAGCAGGGACAGACGTTAGCAGCGACTACCTGGATGACTGAGTTGTTTGTTGCTGTCGTCCCTCGACTCTGTGTCTACCAACCGAAGCGAAGTATGTCCAAGAGCTTCATGACAGTCTGGAATGACTTCGAGGAACATGCGCCCTTCTGGATTACTTTGGTCTCACCAACTCCGCAACCACTGACTTTCCAGAGACAACCTTTTCACCTCGCCAGCCTCACACGAGCACAACGAGAGAAACATCAAAGGTTGTTTGTGGTTGATATTGTCTTTAAAGGTCTGCCTAGGAGAGCGGGGGTCATTGTAGATGCTGGGGATACGGTTCGACAGCTTGCAATTAAGTTCCAGCTGGCACATCTCTGCTCTCTAGAACAGTATAACTGCATTCTTCGCCAGAGCAGAGGAGGCATTGAACGTTCCTGGAATTACTTTGATGTAGTCGAAGAACCGCATGGATTCAGTTTCAGACTTCTTTTTGAGGACCGCAAATCAGAAAGCTGTCAATGTACAGGAGCTGAATCAGATGAAGGTCATTTAATGCAGCAGATTGTTCTTCGCAGACCTTCGCCTCTACAGCTCTATCTCCAGGACTTCAACCGTGAGAGTGTGCGGGTTTATGTCTGGATACACCATATCGGTGCTGAAATTGTCCAAACTCAGTCCTCTGAGTGTGATGTTGATGTGCGTAGGGATGTCGAGCTGCAATGTGAAGAGCTTTGGGTGGATAAGGGAATGCCCCGTTTCAGTAAGATCACTGAAGTCAGCCCGCCACCTGTCTTGATTGCACTCCCAAAACCGCATATCATTGTCTCAAGTACCTTTGATACGGAGGAAGTGCCATTACTTTGCCAAGCCAATGTTGATGGCCGTGTTAGTTTGATGACGGTCTTAGTCAATACCAGGAATATGCCGACACGAGTAGCAGGGCTCTTCGATCTAGCAATCCCACAGCATGACTGTGAATATGGCTCGGATTGCTATCTCCTTTGGGGACATCGAAGATTTGAGTACGCACAGGATTTTGATCCTTACCCTGGTGCATTTATTCGAGTGATAGAGTGGACAAGGCATGATTCGAGGAGTTCGACCGACCTGTGTACATCAGGGTCCTTGGAGTCTCTGGAAGAAGATGATCATTCATGGATGTCCTCTTGGTCAGATTTGGTTGGCCAGGCTGACATGGACATGGAGGACATACAGGCGGCGCCCTCTGTCTCGAGTGCACCAGTACAACAGCAACCTGGAGGAAACACTGCAACTCCATTCGAGGATGACCTATTGTTACAGAGTCCACTGTTCATGCAGAATGACATTTTGCTGCAAATGAACCTGGGATCTGATCAAGGAGAGGACAGCGAAAGCCACTCCCTGCAGCTTTCGCTGGTGGTTTCCAATGTCAGCGATCTGCCACCACCAGTTGATACTGGGGTGAACAGAGAGGTAGACTGGCTATCGACGTGGGTGCAAGCGAGAGCATTCCTTACGGGATACCATCAAGTGCCGATGGCCCAGTCGTATGTCCTGGTGCACCTGATTCAGTACAATGCCCAGGGCACATCCTGCAGTTACGCAACTTGCCCAGGATACCTTTTGTCGCATCAACAGCAAATTTATAGTTTCATTCAATGGTGCATCCAGAACTCATGCCAACTCTACAGAGAATATAGCCGGGTTTTCTGTGTTGAGAATGAGCTCTACCAGGGGGTGCCATCGCTAATCATCGCCCAGATGCAGCCAGAAGGACAAGCGCCGCTTCTGGTACAGGTGACGGACCAAGTCACAGCCATATACCTGGTCTACCAGGCGTACCCTATTGAGCGTGTTGCTGGCATCCTTGACTGGATTTCGCAGCAAATTGACATCGTGCTTCCCTTTGATACCTGCTTTCGAGGTCACCGAGTACAAGGAGGGCACGATATCCAGATTCCTGCAGGGAGTGTCCTCCAGGTGCGAGTCCAAACCTGGAGAGAGAATCAATTCCCTCTATCGCTCACGACTGCAAGTGGGCCATCGTTTGATCTAGTGACGCATTCTACCTGGGAGAGTGCGGTACTGCAAACAACGGAGGCTGCTGTGGTAGACATGTCAGAGCAGGGTGATCGTGGGAGTGCATCATCCTCAGCTATCCACCTACCTCGAGAGATTCAGCAACAGCACACTCTTGAGCCTCGTAGACCATGGATTGATGAAGATGAAGCAGACACTGCGTCTTTTTATCACTTTCCTGGAGGATTAGTGCTACGACCACCTCTCTCGGAGAGCCATGTGCCAGAAATGGACGAAGAAATGAACTTTGAAAGTGAATGGATGCAGTATGTTATGTGGAGGCAGCATGTTCGAAGGGTCCTTCGCACGACGCAGCATTCAGGAGTCCAACGGATCTGCAATGAGGCATTGGCCTATCGAAGGGCAAGACGGGCCTGGCCAGGTTTTGCCCTTGTCCTTCTTCCTGATACCTGGTTTACGGGGTTGCCTCAGCGATCATCTGCGATGGACCTTGAAGGAACCCTGGTCTACGTTCGAGATTTTCTGGCAGAACAGCTTCCTGATGATCTCCCAGTCAGTCGAGGAATCCACCTGATAGGTGTTTTCCCCTATCTAACCCCTTTCGAGCAAGGAGGGGATGACCTGCTTCACCTATTGGTCGATCCGAGTCCGGAAGTAGCAGGGGCCCCTGTTCTCCTGCTGGAAGACCATTGGAGTCAGCCGGACTTCTCATATTGGCCTATGAAGCTCCCTGAATCTTTATGGACTACTGATCTCCTCAGGACCCTGGGGAGACTTGAGGAATGCCAAGATGACGAGATCCTGTGTACCCTCATCTATGATGGTTTTGAACTTCCCCGCCTAGTTACTTGGCGTCCCTGGCCAGGGATGAAGCTCAGTTTGCAGATTCAGAAGAAGATCAACTCACTCTGCAAGTCTTTTGAGACAGAGGAGGAGGATTACTTTTCAAATATGCAGCTCCCAGAGAACAGGCCAGATGGTGGAAGAGGCGAGCCGATGAGGAGACATGGACATGACTATGACCCTGTCTATGACTTTGTTCAACGCGAGGCAGGAAACCCGGAGATCCCTCAAGGAGGGATTGTGAAATTCTGGCTGATACCGGGCTCGGGTGCGGCCATACATGATGCAGTTATCAGGCTTGACATGAGGCCGCAAGTGCCGGACTGGACAGGATGGGTTGAACAGTCATGGAGAATGGCACGGCTTTCCTCCCAGTGCGCGGAAGGATACCAACTATTAGTCGAGAACGGAATGAGCTTCAGGTCATTGGATCGAGTCAAAGAGATGCGGAACAAGGAATGCGCTCCTTCCTGGCTGATCTAGTTTATTCCAATGTGCTGAGAAGGGGGGCAATTCGATGTAGTCTCCTTTCGACTGTGGTGGAAATTGCACGAATGTTTACTAGCCGACACATTCCAGTCGACAGTCCACTCCTCGCCACTTTCCAGCTGTACTGGCATGATGGCACTGGGTGGCAGGTTTTTACAGCCTTTGAGATTCCCACGATGCCGGCAGGTTCATTTGTGCACATTGCTCAAAGGAGTACGGCCTGCACTAGCCGAGTATTAACAGCAGCTCCTGATCCTTGGCTTCTGAACATGATCCTTGAAGAGGAACAGAATGAGACGGCTGCCCCAGATCATCTGGCTATGATGCAGTCACGAGCAGTGAAGGCAGAAGATGAGCTCCTTAGAGGAGCCGTTGACCCGCTCTTTCGGGTAGTACAAAGGATTCGGCATCATTTGCCCTTGCGACGGCGCGCCTCACTCACCGTGCACCTATGGTTTTTCGAGGATGATCAGGTGACGACGCTGCCAGAAGCAAGGTCCCTGATCTTGCAAGGTGATGCTCATGACTGGACGAACAGCGCGGGTCTAGAAGGAGCTTTGGCGATTATGCCTATCCTACCGAAGCCCCCTTCATTTGATCCAGGAGTCTTCCAACTGATGGCATTTACGAATGACGCTTCACGACACCTCCTTGTCGATGTTCTGCTGGGACGACGTGTAGTCCGAGAGGCGGTCCAGTGCCGAACTGAGATGAGTGTGTTGGACATATATCGGATGATTGCTACGGGCAAGTTTGCAATGTGGTACTTGCAGACCACTTCCCTCAAACTTACATGGAAGCCACCGGAGGGTGAGGTGACATACAGGTCGCATGAAGTGCCAACTGTGCCATCTGGTTCGTATGTTACAATGCAGATTGCTGGAGAAGAGTGCACAGATGACTCGTGGTTGACATCACACGGCCTGCATGGATCCAGAGAGCGACAGGCGGGAGGAAACACTGCAACTCCTGTGGCAGACCTAGCTGAAGGCCGTGGATCTCAGGATTCCCCTCACATTGCTTCCTTTCCAGACTTGGTGGAGGATACTGCATGGCCTGACTTCGATGAGCACAGTTTTATGCAATTATCTGCTGATGAGACCTCCACGATCAGATGGGCCCAAGTTGTACACGCCTTTCATAACAGACGGTCTCTTAATGATGTGCTCAGCTATTCGGCTCAGAATTTTGTGCGGAAAGATGACCTTCGACATTGGGTCTTGGGGCTTTTGCAGCCTCCGAATGATATGCCAGTACAACTGGCAATCTGGAGGCTTGGGCCATGGTCCATGATTGCGAGAAGTTGTGACTACCTGCGCATGGAGGACGACAATTGGTCCAGGCATGTCCGAGAATATTGGAAGGCCAAACCAGACTACAAGGTACCAGATATGGCTGCACCGGAGCCTCAACCGTTGGCCAATAGTGGGGCGGATATGCGACAGCTTCATGTTATTGCTTTTGAGCATAATCGCATGCCAATCGACACTTACATGCACCTCTTTGAGGTTTGGACAACTAGAAATCCTGCTGAAGGCACTGGCAGGGTCTTCCTGGCGAGGATGGCAGCGGCAATACCGAGGCATTTCAAAGTCATCCAGATTGTGGAAGCCTTGGGACTGGCCCATCTTCTTCCTCCAGAAGGTCAATGTTTTATTCTTTTTTCTTTACGAGATGGCCTTCAAGAAGCGGTCTACAGGAAACATCATGTCCCAGAGGTGCCAGAATTTTCACTGCTCCAGATTGTTTTGGTGCAGACCCAGCAGGCTGGCTGTGAACCGACAATTGGGGATAACACTGCAACCCCAAGTATTGAAGAGTTGAGCCAGCAAGACACGGTGACAACCTTTCTTCAGTTATCAATGCAGATGAATTTCCGGAACCAGTTTGACAAGCAAATTGCAGAGATGCTCTCACCTCCTGGCAATCCGGGGATGGAATTCTGGAATAGCGTTGACCTGACGGATCTGGATGATTGGATCTGCATTGATGAACATGTCTTTGTGGTTGATGCTAAGTTTACAAGAGCCCGCCAAGTAGTTTCCCTTGCTGATTCGTTGCCTGTTTCGGGACAAGAAGGGCCAAATGTACGACTGAATGGGTCCAGGGGTGTTGACCCTCAGAGAAGGGTTCAATTGCCAGATTTTAGGCCATTGCTGGATTCCATTTATTGCAAGCAGCCAGAACATGACTTTGATGTCACAACTCTGTATGAGGATCTACCGGAAATTGTCCGGAAGGCAGCTTGGGCCGTGGAGCTCGGCTATAAGGGACCTTGTCATAGTCTCCATATTTACACAGACGGCTCTTTTTCAGCAAAGGCCAAGGGCTCGCTGGCGCTTTTGAAGGTCCAACGATCTGCATGGTCGATCTTGATTTTGGTCTTGTGGACACAGACCCTGTGAGTCCTGGCTGGACTGGTGCGACCAGATCGGACTCCAAAGCAGCCGAATCAGAGGCACTCATTCGAGCGATTGAATGGAGTCTACGTAGTGGTCATGAGGTGCCTCATACGATGCACTTTGATGCCCAGGCGGTCGGGTTTGCTGGCTCCGGGTTATATGGGATTCAGGAGACTGACAAGCAGCTGCGGCTCCTGCGATCGTTGGGCCTGGCTTTCCAACAGTCACTCCCTGCCAATGCAATTGTTCGATGGCAACATGTCAAAGGCCATTCGGGGGTTCTAGGTAACGAGCTGGCCGATGTTCTAGCCAAACATAGCTTCTCGAATCAGAAACACTGTCGAGAGATGCCCCGGCCGGACTATGTGCCGTATCTTTTCGGCGCTAGGATGCCAGTGGAGGTTCTCTGGATCTTTTTTGACCAACTGCGGAAAGATCCTATTTTTCCACAGGTGGAAGATAACCAATTGGTCCTCCCACCACTGGACCCTGGTGCCGGTGTTGACCGCCGACTACCAGCTGGCTTGTTGATTGGGGCAGAAAGGGCTGTTAAAGCACGGACTTTTCGGCTTTTCGCTGTGACATATAATGTTGCGTCACTTGATCAGCGCAGGAAGCCCTTTGCGGCGCAATACCTGCGGGAACAGGCTGAAGCGCATGGAGTTGATCTCCTCTTTGTCCAGGAGAGCAGAAGTCGACAGACTAATTTGATCATTTCCCAGTCCTTTTTTCGCATCCAGGTGGCTGCTGACCATGGGAAAGGAGGTCTCGAGTTATGGATGGCCCGGACAGATCAGAGGACAAATAATCCGATTTTCGAGAGGGCCCACATCCATGTTTTAATAGCTGAGGCAGAACTGCTGATTGTAAAGGCAAGATGCAGAGGCCAGCCGCTGCTCATTGTGAATGGTCATGCCCCACATAGCGGCAGGCCGCAGGATGAGATTGTATCTTTTTGGGCAAAAGTCTCTGAGGAGCTGGCCCAGTTCTGGCAGTCTGATATTCCGATTGTCTGCGGATTTGATGCTAATGCGCATTTTCATGAACCCTGTGCTGAGACTGTTGGAGAAGCTGGACTTGAAGGGGCGACCAACCACGGAGCACTTGCTTTTCTTGGCTTCCTTCAGCGTTTCGAGCTCTTCCTTCCAAGCACGTTTGAAGAGTTCCATTCTGGAGAACATGTGACTTGGCATCACAGTTGCAATAATAGTGGGGCCAGATGTGATTACATTGCGATCCCCACGGCTTGGCGGACAGGAGCCTTGCAATCGTACTGCGTCCCCAGCCTGGATGCTGGAGGGGCAGGCATCGACCATGTTCCAGTAGCCCTGCAAGTTGTTTTGACACTTCTGAACCGCCGAGGACCAAAGAAGATAGATGTCTTTGATAGAAGGGCTCTGCAGGATGCAAGTACTCAGGAGGTCGAAAAGGTGCTTGAGGGCATCGAACTTCCCACTTGGACAGACGATGTGGACTCCCATGCGACCTCACTGTCTGAGCAAATTACTATTCGCCTACAGGAGCATTACCCACTTGTTCGTTCGAGGCCACGAAGGGGCTATATCTCAGACGCAAGTTGGGGTTTACGCAAAGAAAGGATGCGATTGCGACATGAACTCACATCCTGCCGAATACGGCTTGATTTCTTGAGCCTGCAGCGAACATGGGATGTATGGGTAGGTAGAAACACTCTTGATCTGAAAGCCCTTTTTGTTCGTGCTATCTGGTCATTTGCTTGTGCACTTAAGGTCCGGAGGCAGGTTGCTGTTGCAGGCAAAGCTTTGCAGCAGAGTCTTCGTGAAGATCGAACACGATCTTTTGAGGCATTGGCAGACAGGTCGCATGAGATGCGAGAAAAAGACTTCTTAGGTGCTCTGCGCGCCTTGGGAGTGCGAAATTCCAAAAAGCCTTCGGCGATCCAGCCACTGCCGATTCTTAGAGGCCTGGATGGGAAGCCGCTCGATACACTCGAAAAAGTAATGCAAAGATGGCGGGAATATTTCCTTGAGCAAGAAGACGGATGTGAGACTACTTTCTCACAGATCTTTGCAATTGCCGATGCAACGGAGCGAAAACAGAGGCCATGTCCACGGTGGGACCAGATGCCGACCCTTTTTCAACTCGAGCAGCAGTTTCGACGCACGGCCAAGAATAAAGCTTTCTTTGCGGATAATATCCCAGGTGAGCTGCTGGCTATCGCACCACGACGCCTAGCTGAAATTTTCTACCCTCTCATTTGCAAAGAAATTGTGCATGTTCGCGAGCCAATCATCCACAAGGGTGGTTTCCTTACCCCTGCTTTTAAGAAAGGTGACCCGGGTCAGCCAGAGAGTTACAGGTCGCTTTTCGTTAGCAGTGTTGTAGGCAAGGCGGTGCATGCCATTTATAGGGCTGAGCTTGCTGAGATTTTTGAGAAGCAGAGGTTACCGCTGCAGATTGGGGGACTAAAGGGTTTCAGCGTTGGTCAAGCTGCACATGCTTTGCAAAGCTACCACAGAACTGCGATTAGGAAAAATCATTCCGTCGCCATCATTTTCATTGATGTGGCCAATGCCTTCTATAGGCTCATCCGCCAGCACATCCTCGATGCGCCAGGAGACCAAAGATCGCCAGAGCAGATCTTTGAAGCACTTAACCTGCCGAAAGAGGTTTTTTACGGATTTCTTGAACATGGTTCAGCAACCGGCAGCCATGGAATGTTCGGAAGCCCCTGATTTCTTAAAGGCTCTCTTTCGTGAATTCTATGCCACTACCTGGTTTAGATTGAAAACTGATGATGTGGTTGTGCAGACCCGGAGAGGGAGTAGGCCAGGTGACAGTTTCGCCGACCTATGTTTTTCGTTTGCTTTGCAGAAGATCATGGAAGGTATAAACTGCCAGATCCATGCCTCATACCCTGAGATCGGACCTCTTTGGGACGGCCACAATTCTCCTGTGCGAGGCAATGGGCAGCTGCAAAGGTTGGGTATTGTTGCGCCAGTTTGGGCGGACGACCTAGCGTTAGCATTTTCACATCCTGCCGCAGAAGTCCTGCTTGAACAGGCACAGCAGATTGCTTCGATTGTCTTTGACGGGTTCGTTGCAGCTGGACTCAAGCCGAATTTCAAGACAGGCAAAACTGAAATCCTCTTGGATCTGAGAGGGCCTGGATCCTTGCCAGTGCGCCGTGAACTGGTCCACCTCGACCACATTATCACGATCCCTTCCAGGTTTTCTGGATATGCTGTACGCGCTGTCGGTGCGTATAAGCATTTAGGCTCATGGATCCAAGTCGGTTCAGGGATTGCCCGCGATTTAAGCACCAAGTTCGCGGCAGCCCATAACCTCATAACGCAGTACCGAAATCAGGTCTTTGCCAACAAGAAATTGCCTCTGAGTAGAAAGCTGCAGCTTTTCCAAATGATGGTGGTCAGTACCATTGTGCACAATGCGGCCCTCTGGACACCTAGGAATAAACGGCAGCGGCAGCAATTGCAGGCATCTTTTGTTCGGCTCTACAAGAGACTAGGAGTCTTGCACTTTGGGTTTGAGGCGCAGCGGTGGCCCCTACCTAAGCTGCTCAACTCCCTTGATCTTCCAGACCCGGAGATTACGGTCCGACAAGCCCGCCTTCGATACCTGGAACAAACCTGCAGAACTGGTCAACCACATCTTTGGGCTGTCCTCCAAGAGGATAGAGAATGGTGGTCAACGATTCAGCAAGACATTGCATGGTTATGCAACCACTGTCCAGAAATTTTGTGTGAAGGCAAGAATCTGGCTGAATGGTCGGACCTTGCCGAATACCTCCGGGCACATCCGAAGGCTTGGAAAGGTCACATCAAAAGGGCAGTCCATAGACATGTAACTTCCCGGAAACTCGATGAGCATTGGCAAGAGTGGCAAGGGGTCATCATGCAAGAGGTGATAGAAGCCGGCTTTGGCTATAAGGCCATGGCTGCCTCCCCTCGACAGCCATTTTACTGCCTAAAGTGCCAAAAGGTTTTTCAAAGACGTGCTGACCTTGCAGTACATGCGTTCAAGAAGCATGACCGGATTAATCCTGCACGGAAGTATGTCCAAGGCAGACAGTGCGAAAAGTGCCTCAAACACTATGCCACATATCCTGACTTAGTCAATCATGTGAAGCGGTCTTTGCACTGTATGAACTTCTATATTAGCAGGGGAACGGTTGTGCCTCGACAACCAGGAGTGAATAGCCGCGCTGATAACCAACAACGAACATTGTTGCGTGACCCTTTCTTCTATGCGGAGGGACCTCGCTGCCCTTCGCCAACAGCTTTCGTTGATGATGATCATCCTGAACAAATGCTGCTCATGGGAAAATGGGATCAGGCTTCGATGGAATGCACAGATGTCCAGGCTTGGCTAGAAGCACTCCGAAAAGCGACCACACAGACGACTCTGTTTCATGAAGACATTTTGACGACATTCCGGACTTGGAGTAGCAACTGGCGCGCTTCCCACGAGGAATTGACGCTGAGTGCACTTCGAGTCTTTTCCTTATTTGAGTGTCATGCCTCGGCTGAGTGGTTCCTTTCTGGTACGACCCGGACGCAACAGTTTGGAGAGGCTGCGGTGGCCTTTTTTGAACGTGAAGCATGGGTTTTTCAGGATATTCTCTGGACACCAGCGAGGACGGTGAAATATCATCCTCGAGTAGTTGCACACCTTTTTTCTGGCGAACGCAGGAAGGGAGATCTGCAATACTACCTTGAGAAGTACGGATTCTCCTCGGTGTCCATTGATATTATATATGATGTTACCTGGGGGAACCTATTACGACAAGACACACTCGATACCTTCAGGCATGCCCTACGAGTTGGAGCACTCCTTGGATTCATGGCCGGACCTCCATGTGAGACATGGAGCCGGGCCCGGGCGGTCCAATGTGAGGGTGGTCCACGTATGGTGAGGTCTTGTGCTCGACCACAAGGAGTTCTTCACTTGACGAAGCGTGAGAGCTTACAGGTCGAGCTTGGCAACCGACTCTTAGCCGTTGC